GCGAAGCGCGCGCGCGCCCTGCTGCCCCCCGCCTGCTGAGGGGCTGGTCTCCCCTGCTGCCGTTCCCTCCGCTCGCTCGCGCGCGCGAGAGAGGGGGTGGGGCGGCAGGGCGCAGGAGGCATGAGGCAGGAGGCACGAGGCAGGAGGAGGATGATGACGACAATGGGGAGGAGGATAAGGAACACGAGGATGATGATGATGATGATGATGATGATGATGATGATGATTATGATGATGATGATGATGATGATGATGATGATGATGATGATGATGATGATGATGATGATGATGATGATGATGGATGATGATGATGATGATGATGATGATGATGATGATGATGAGGAGGAGGAGGAGGAGGAGGAGGAGGAGGAGGAGGAGGAGGACGAGGAGGAGGAGGAGGGGGAGGAGGGGGGGAGGCGAGGAGGGCAATGGTGGTGGTGGTGGTGGCAGTGGCGGTTATGGTGGCGGTTATGGTGGTGGTGGTGGTGAAGAGGAGGATGGGGAGAAGTAGGAGGAAGAGGATGATGAGGAGGAGGGGTGGCATGATGCTGCTGATTTTGCTGTTGCTGATGACGACGACGACGATGTCGTCGCCACCGACTGCGATGATGCTGAGGGTACTGGTTATGATACTGGTGTTGATACTGCTGGTGGTGTTGGTGATAACAATGGCAATGGCAACGACGATGACGATGATGATGACGATGCAGATGATGATGATGATGATGATGATGATGATGATGATGATGATGATGATGATGATGATGATGATGTTGACGCTGCTGCTGCTGATGATGCCGATGATGTTGATGATGACGATGATGCGGATGATGATGAGCTGATGATGACGATGACGATGATGCTCATGACTACGCTGATGATGATGCTGATGATGATGATGATGGCCATGCTGATGATGCTGATGATGTTGATACTGATTATGCTGGTGATTATGCTGTTGATGATGATTTTTGCGCTGCTGATCGTGATGTTGCTGATGATGCTGATGCTGACGCTGATGATGACAACGACGCTGACGATGATGCTGCTGATGCTGCTGATGCTGCTGATGATGCTGCATATGATGATGGAGGTTGTGTTGGTAGTGATGATGGTGATGCTGGTTGTGATGATGATGGTCATGATGATACTGATGATGATGGAGATGGACATGGTGATGATGATGATGGAGGTTGTTGTGGTAGTGATGATGACGAGGACGAGGTTTTGGTGACGCTGGTGATGATGATCATGCTGATGATGCTGATGATGACTGGCCGGTGATGATGATGATGCTGTTGATGATGATGCTGTTGGCGATGATGATGCTGATGATGATGATGCTGATTCTGATGATGGTGATGATGGTGATGCTGATTATGATGATGCTGATGATTGTGATGTGGATGATGTTGCTGATGTTGATGACGCTGATGGTGTTGATGATGTTGACGCTGATAGTGTTCATGACGCTGATGGTGCTAATGTTATGATGGTGATGATGACGATGATGCTCATGATTCTGATGTTGATGATGTTGGTGGTGATGTGGATGATGGCGATGACGATGACGATGGCGATGATGTTGATGATGATGATGATGTCGATGATGCTGCTGCTGATGATGCGGATGATTATGATGATACTGCCGTTTCTGCCGTTTCTCGCTAGGCAGCGTCTTGTCATGCGCCCCGCAGGCGCGGAGGGCTCCGCAGCGGCCCAGCAGGGCCGTGTGGGCACTCAGACGGCGGCCCCGGGAACCCGACCCCGAGGGAGGGGGAGGACCAGGGACCAATAATATCACGGAGGGGGAGGAAGGGGCCGGGTTTTTCAAAAAAGAAGGGGGCCCGACAGGGCCCTCAGCGTGCGCCGCGCGCGGCCGCCCACTCAGGCAGCGCAGCACGGCGCGCGGCCAGGCCGTCGGCCTCTTCGTGTGCCGGCGGCCGCACGGCTGTGGTTCGCGAGCCAGAGGTATTGCTGGCCTCCGTCGTGCGCGAACCCGCGTTACTCGACCCAGTCGTACAGGTCGAAGTTGCACTGCCTGATTCTGCGGCCCTCGGAGCTGTGCTGCTCGACGCAGACGTGCTGGTCACCGTGGTACAGCTTGGCTCTGTAGTTCACGATGTGACACGGCTCGATTTTGGTGGTCATCAGGATGATGCCTGAGACCATTATGCAGATCCTGTGGTACTAAAACCAGGCATGTTGGTTGGAGTGGTGGTACTTGGCTCGATGGTCCTCAATCTCGCGGTACCCGACTCAGCAATGCTGGTCGCCGTTGAATTGCGGGTAGTGGTGGTGGGTCGTCGGTTGGTGATCTTCGGCTGATAGTCGGTTGGTGAGCTGTGGTGTTCGACTCAATCATGGTGGTCATCGGCTTACAGCATGAAAGTATGGCGTCGATCCTGTGGTACGTTACCCAGTCGCGTACATTGATGTGGTGGTTCTTGACTCGATGGTCCTCATCATGTAATGCTCGGCTCAGACTTGCTAGTCGTCGGTGGTGGCGGAAAATGCTGGCTGAGTGGTAGGTCGTTGGGGAGCTCCCCCGCCATTGTATCTGCTTGTATCTGCTTGTTGTGCGTGCTGGTCAGGGTCGTTGGGCGATCGGCTTGTTGCTGGTGTTGTGATGTGGGGCGTGGGCGCACATATGAGGCCTCCATGCACCGACTTCAAGTGGGGTTCGCGGCGGCCCCACCTCGTCCCGCTATGGCTAGGGGTCACAGTGCCCTCGGTGGGGGCGAACCCCAGGCCTGGTGCTTGCTTCTGTCGGTGTGGGATGTCTCGGCTGTCCTGCGCTTCGCCCAGTGGGCGCTCGGGTAGCACCTCCTCCGCCATGGGGATTGTGGGGGTGGCGAGCTAGGGCGGACCGCGGGGGCGCAGGTAGTGGACGTCCTACCCCCCCCCTGCCCCTCACCATCCCCCTGGTGGGCGCGGGTCGTACTCGTCCTTCCCCCCCACCCTTCGAGCCCGTCTCGAAGTTTGATCCATGCCTCACCAGGGCAGCGTTGACTTGTAGAGGTGTGGTGGGACATACCAGGAATGTGGTAGTGGTCGAAAGGTGGCGCGGTATGTTCGTAGCAGTCACCCACCGTCTGGCCAGCTGATATCCACTGAGTTGTATACGTACGATACATGCCTGAGTACATACCGCAAAACGTAGCGACATGTGCCTGGGGTCTTCCCACGCATTCGGGGCTTCCCCAGGACTTGCGCTCTGACATCATGCAAAACTTGGCGACGCTGCCTGAGGTGTTCCCACGCATTCGGGGCTTCCTCAGGACTTGAGTCCTGACGCCAAAGTGCTCGTCGTCGCAGACGCTCTTTCCTCGGGCTGCCCTGTAGTACCCGTGGTCGTGCCCGCGCCTGTGGTGACGACGTAGTCTTGCTGGTACCGGTGGCCATGCCTAACTCAGTGGCGTCCGCACCTGTGGTGTTCAGTACCGTCATGCTGGTCGACACGGTGTTGCTTGTTCCTCAGCGCCTGTGGTACTCGGCTCCCCGGTGCTGGCAAAGGTAGTACGGCATATGCTGCTTGCTGATATAGTGCCCAAGCCCATGTTACTCGAGTCAAACTTACTGCCCACCTGCTGAAAACAACATAATACGTCCAATGATAAGCTGGGTGCTTTATTACTTTGCCCAGGTAGGTATGTGTGCATCAAAACATAGGAGCCAAGAGTGATAAAACCAGTAATAATACTCGAGGGGAGGCACGCTCCGTCGCTTCTGAGGGATCGTGCCCACCCGCATGGGCGCTACGGGTCCCCCCCCCCTTCGAGAATGACACGCCATCGTGGTCGATCAGTCCGTGTGCCATCGTGCTCTCGGTCGATGTGTACAGCAAAATAGAAAACCACTCCGTCTTCTGGTCATATTACAAATCCACTGCAAGTCCGCTGCAAAATATAATTCCACTCGCAAATCAGTTGTAGTCCACTGTAATCCATTCCAAATCAATTTCGCAATCCATCTGTACAGCAAAATAGTAGTCTACTACAAAACATAAAGCCACTCGCATCCAGTTGTGCAGTTCGCCGCGGTAAAGCCTGTGCCCATGGGCCCGAGCCTGTGGTGGTCCCCCCCGCCGTTCTGGTCGATGTAGTACAGCGCGACACTGTAGATGCTGCTTGCGGCGATGACTGCCCCACTCCCTGTGACAGTCGTGCCCCAGCTGTTCTGGCTCAATATAATGATCCAGTGGCGCGTAGAAGCTGTGAAAGTATTCGTCTGTCTCGGCCCACAGTGCTTCATCGTCGGCGAGCTGTCCCCAGTGGGCTGCGACGGCTGCTGCCATTGCCTTGCGCAACCTCGAAGGGTATTCTTTGAGAGGGGCAGTCCTCCAGCCGCCGTGCCCGTCGCGTCCGTAGGCTCGGTCGTGTCTGCGGTGTCGGCGCAGCTGGCCGCCTGGCACTGCTCCGAGCTCTTGCGTGAGTTCACTGAGGTGCGCCGCGAGCAGACACGTTGGCTTTCGCGCGGCCTGCCCAAACTGGCACTGGTCAACGTAGTGCAGCTCGACGTTGGTCTGCTCCAACAGCCACCGAGTCTCCGCTCGGTGCCGGCTACTCGGCGCTTGAGGACACCAGGTAGCTGGGGCAGGATGCTCGAGTATCGCGGAGACGTTGTACTGCAGACCCGCGGTGATGAGCAGTACGGCTGTACTGTAGAGTTCGTTGGCCAGTGCTAGCTGCTGGAGTTCAGTTTGGTTGGCTGCTTGTATGCCCCAGGGGAAGTCGTGGGTGCGTAGTGGTCTTGTGGCTTTGCCTTCGGTGGCGCGCCACCGTGATGAGCACCGCGTCTCGCGCGGGGGGCCTGCTGCAATACCAGAGATTTTGCCCTGACATATCGCCGCGCACCAAAAGGCGATCGCGTCTGGCTTGGTCAGGTCGCCTTTGTCAGGGTCGATCTGCACATCGATTGATAGCGCTATCAAATTGCATCCCCGAATATTCATCTCGAAGTGGTGCTGGAAATCCTCCACTCGGCGTCTCCCTGAGAAG